AAGCCACAGGTTTCACTGTGCACAAGCAAGCTTTTCGGGAACACCAAAAGAACTACTCAAAGTCACTTACAGAGGCACGGTCACAGTTCTACTCAAACATCGTCAGAAACAGTCCTGGAAACTCCAAGCAGCTGTTTTCCACCATAAATCATCTTCTCAAACCACAAACCCCCTCAATTACAGAAACTACAGAAGAGCACTTTAATAATTTCCTGGCCTTTTTCAAAACATAAATAGACTCAATCTCACGCTACCTTTCCTGGATCCTCAACACTACCCGCCCCAACTGTCCACTCACAGCCTGCAATCTCACAGCCCCTACACTGCTTTCCAGAAATTTCACAGAAAGAGGTTGAGAGGATTATCTGCCCTTAAAACAGCCATAATCAGACCAATTCTCAAAATAAAAATCCTTGATCCAGATGCATGCGCAAATTACAGGCCCGTTTCCAATCCCCCATTCCTCTCCAAAGTACTAGAAAAAGTTGTTGCCGCCCACCTCCAGGACCACCTCAAACATAAAAATTCAAAGTCTGTTTTCTCTGCTCACAGCAAAGAAAAAGCCGTGGTTAGAGTCACAAACGACCTACAAATGGTAGCTGATGGTGGCTCAACCTTCCCTCGTCATACTCCTAGATCAAACCATCCTGACTCACTGACACTGCTCTTAACTGGTTTAAATCATACCTCACTGACAGAACAGAGTACATTTCACTTGGAAATGCAAGGTCCAGGCAACACACAGTCACCTGCAGAGTGCCCCAGGAGTTCACTGCTATGCTGGTGACACACAACTGTACATGAAATCGGACACACACACCACTGACAAGATATAAAAAAGAGCTGTTGTGACAAACCCAGAGCACAAAAGAACTGAAGGAAATTTAAAACTATTGTTATGAATTTAAATTTGGTAAACACACACTGGACAAGAACCGAATACATTAACTGACCTCAGAACCTCCAGTCTACAGTGTGGACTCTCCAGTCCAGCAGACAGCAGCTTCACTGCTGAATCCTGCAGGTTGCTGAAGCTCAAGTTCAGCTCTCTCAGATGGGAGGGGTTGGACTTCAGAACTGAGGCCACAACTTCCAAGTGAGTCTCTGAGAGTCCACAGACCAAAAGTCTGTGATAACAGAGAATATAAAACTTAAACTTAGTGAAATAAAATCTTACAATTTATTATAAAAACAGACTTTATGCATTTTGCATTACAAAGCACATTAACACGAGTGGCTGCGGCTCAGCTGCTCAGCTGCTCAGCCATTGATCACAAGGTCTGTGGTTTGAAACTTGACCTCTTGTCAAAGTGTCCTTGAGCAACATAATGAACCACAAATTACTGCTTTAGATAAAAGTGTCTGCCAAATGACTGTAATGTGAACATATCATATTGTGACTAACAGGGTGCTGTGACTGAGCTGAGCTGTAAAATCACTGCAGGTTGGAACTGCACTCGTCGTATTTATCCCTGTCATGTGCTTGTGTTTATCTTATTATGTCACGATTATAAGTTATAATGTAATAACTCCTATTGCAGTAATAGTATAATTAGTATTAACATTTTATGGGTAAAAGTGTTTCTCAAGTGGAGTTCAGCTGTTTAACAGCATCATTTCTTCTCTGAGCTTGGTGATGATAAAATCCCTCCACTGAACTGAACCATGTGTGTGTTACGGGTACCAGGGGGGGCTGCAGCACCATAAACAGCTGGATTTATCCTGAAATACAGGAAAGAATGATAAAACATGGTCTGTTGTTGTTGAAATCTCCTCATTTATGAGGAAAACCAGCGGAGCATGCACTCTTGATTACAGTCCCTTGGTAAACCACAGTCTCACAGCGCCACCTACTATGGAAAAACTGCTGCAGCAGATTTACAATTTTGGTTTACAAACATATCAATAACAAAGAAAGTAATTTACACAAGCGGAAAAATACAGATATAATTTGAAATTATGAAACACCATATAATCAAATAATTCCATTCACACTTGTGTGATCACACTCTAGTTAGCATCACATGTGTTGCTATTTCCTCTGCATAACTTGCCTCTAGTGTTGCTGTTGTGAAATGGTGCAGAAAGGAAACACATTGTCCAACAATTTGTGTTTGTAAACTGATATAATTTCTCACATACTGTTTCTAAATCAAACTCATTTCTAATGTAGCAAAACACATGAAGAGACATTCATTGTTGGAACTAAACAATGTAAAGTATTATTTAATGAGGATGGAGAGGGGGATGTTCTGTTCACTCTTCAAGAGGGAGGATGGCCTCCCCTCATATCCTCTCAAATCAAACAATAATTAGAGATATTGTATAAACTGTGAAAATGGACAAAACAGTCCTTCATATGAAATAACGTAGAAACTGCAGAGAAAAAATAGAATAGCAATAACTGCATGAAAGCTATAAAACCTTCAAGCTCCAGCAGATCACAGCTATGACATGTCTGTGTGTCTGTATATAAGAAGAACAAGAAAAAGACACAGTATATAAAGAGAGTGCAGACACTGGATCACTGTAAAAAATAAAAAAGACTGCTGTGACAAAATGATGACTGTCAAGACATTTTCAGCACAAACTCTTAATCCTCAAGTTTTCCTGCTGGATTTGTATCAAGCCTCCATCACCCAAAGAAAGATAGAAGATACTTGTGTCACTAACATGCTGGATAGAAACACAGAAACGATGTTTGCAGACATTTGGAGTTTAACACATGTAGAATTATTTCAATAAGCAGCTTTAATACCAGTTTAGAAAACTTTTATAGTGTGGAAGTATAAAATGTGTATCTTTACTGCAATACTGATGCTTCAGCTTTACAGTGCTGATAATCGCATCTGGACTTACTGAGCCTTTCTGCAGTTCCTCACAGCTGGAATCAGTCTCAGTCGTCCCTCCTCTGATGTGTTGTACTTCTGCAGGTCCAACTCATCCAGAACCTCCTCTGACATCTGCAGCATGTAGGCCAGAGCTGAGCAGTGGATCTCTGAGAGTTTCTTCTCTGATCTGTTCTCTGACTTCAGGAACTCTTGGATCTCCTGATGTACTGAGTGGTCGTTCATCTCCATCAGACAGTGGAAGATGTTGATGCTTCTGTCAGGAGACATCTTTGTCCTCTTCCCTTTCAGGTTGTTGATGGCTCTCTGGATGATTTCTGGACTGTTGTCTGTCTGACCCAGCAGGCCTCCTAAGAGTCTCTGGTTGGACTCCAGAGAGAGGCCATGAAGGAAGCGAACAAACAGGTCCAGGTGGCCATTTTTACTTTCAAGGGATTTCTTCATTGCTTCCATCAAAAAGACATCCAGGTTTGAATCAATGTGATTTTCCCCCAGGAAGTCCTTCAGTCTCTCTGTGTTGCTGCTGGTGTAACAGTGGAACATGTAGACTGCAGCCAGAAACTCCTGAACACTCAGATGAACAAAGCAGTAGACTGTTTTCTGGAAGATCACACTCTCTCTTTTGAAGATCTCTGTACAAACTCCTGAGTACACCGAGGCCTCTGTGACATCAAGACCACACTGCTCCAGGTCTTCTTGGTAGAACATGATGTTTCCTTTCTGCAGCTGTTCAAACGCCAGCCTCCCCAGCTTCAGAAGAACCTTCCTGTCAGCCTCCGTCAGCTCCTGTGGACTCGTCTCATGTCCCTCATTGTACTTGTGCTTCTTCCTCTTTGTCTGAACCAGCAGGAAGTGTGAGTACAGGTCAGTCAGTGTCTTGGGCAGCTCTCCTCTCTGCTCTGTAGTCAACATGCGCTCCAGAACTGTAGCAGTGATCCAGCAGAAGACTGGGATTAGACACATGATGTGGAGGCTCCTGGAGGTCTTGATGTGTGAGATGATTCTGCTGGACAGCTCTTCATCACTGACTCTCCTCCTGAAGTACTCCTCCTTCTGGGCGTCAGTGAAGCCTCGTACTTCTGTTACCCTGTCAACACATGAAGGAGGGACCTGATTGGCTGCCGCAGGTCGGGAAGTTATCCAGACGAGAGCCGAGGGAAGCAGATTCCCCTTGATGAGGTTTGTCAGCAGCAGGTTGACTGATGACTTCTGTGTGACATCAGACACGACCTTCTTGTTGTTGAAGTTTAATGAAAGTCTGCTTTCATCCAGGCCGTCAAAGATGAACAACAGTTTCCAGACGGCGAGCTTCTCTGCTGGGACCTTCTGTAATGTTGGATGGAAAACATGGAGCAGCGTGAGGAGACTGTGCTGCTCATCTTTGATCAAGTTCAGCTCCCTGAACGAGAGCAGAACCAGCAGACTGACATCTTGGTTTTCCGAGCCCTCTGCCCAGTCCAGAGTGAACTTCTGCACTGAGAAGGTTTTTCCAACGCCAGCGACGCCGTTGGTCAGAACCACTCTGATGGCTCTCTGTTGGCCAGGTAAGGCTTTAAAGATCTCGTGACACTTGATTGGAGCGTCATGGAGGGTCTCCATCTTGGAAGCTGTCTCAAGCTGCCTCACCTCATGCTGGGTATTAACCTCTTCACTCTGTCCCTCTGTGATGTAGAGCTCAGTGTAGATCCTGTTGAGGAGGGTTCCACTTCCTGTTTCATCACTTCCTTCAGTCACATGTTCACATCTCTTCCTCAGACTGATCTTATGTTCATCTAAAACCTCCTGCAGACCACTATCTGCTGAAAGAGAAGAACAAATAACCTGAGACTAAACAGAGAGCAAGAATCCAGATAAATCAAATGTTTTGGATGGATGATATTCATGATAATATTAAAAACCAAATGTTCCTGTAATTAAACAGAAAGTCCTGTTTTCAGACATGACGACATCAGCAGACAGATGAACAGTCTTACTTTGTACAGAGCTGCTCTGATTGGCTGTCTGCAGTCCAGCTCTGGTTCTGGATCTGTCTCCACACTGGGGACAGGAGGAGTCTCCTGATGAAGCAGACTGGTCCCAGTATGAGGTGATGCACTGTCTGCAGAACCAGTGTCCACAGCTGGTAGAGACTGGATCCTTCAGGACGTCCTGACACAAAGCACAGCAGGACGGCTGCTCCTCCACAGGAACAGGACTCCTCTTCCTCTCTCTGTGAAGACATTTCTTTAGAACTAAAATGATTTGTTGCTTGTTGTTGAAAAATCTCCAGATGTGTCCGACACTGTGTAGAAGCTCAGATGGTCACAGAGAACAGTAAAAGTGTCGTTACTTTTCTGTTTTCAGTCAGTAATGAAGATGATTGTTCCTTTTATTTCAGCTCTCCTGCTTTCAGAAACACTAATTAACTGCTTTTCCTGTCTGACTGTCTTATTAAACATTTAGTGATCTGCCTGGAGTTTGTTATTAATACAAACTCAACACTTCCTGCAGCTCCTTCACAGTAAAAGCCTCCATTAAAGAGAGCAGATTATGTCCTTCACTGTTTTACAGTCACTTCCGGCAACTTAGCTTGAGTTAGTTTGTTTTGAACTGAGGTTAGAAGTGGTCTCAATAATTGTGGTAGACCAGCAGTCTCAGACACAGAGCATGTAACAGTGGTGTCACAGGTTCAAGTCCAGACAGTTTCCTTTATGTTTCCTGTCCCTCTCTACTGTCAACTATCAAATGAAAACAATTCAAATATTCAAAAAAAAGAGAAGTGGTCCAAATCTCCATGTGACCATTTTCTGCCCTTTTTTCATCCACTGCTAACTTTTCCATCAGTGCTGCCCGTGGATGTTTGTTCTTCACCTTCAGGAACAATATATGGTGGAGAGAATCTGAGCTCAAAGCTCCACTTACTGATGATTCAAAGCAAAGTGTTCATCAAGGTGAGCAAAGCTGAACTACAAATGCTTTTTCAACACATGTTGCACAATTATGATCTGAAGTGATTCAAGATGCATCTGGTGTATCAGAACAGCTGATCTGAGGAAGAGCCAAACAGCTCAGTGTTTAGAGTTGATATGAGAGAATTAATTACACATTTGAAGCAGATCCTTCAGATTCTGAATTGTTCCAAATCTTTACAGTGACTTCAACGTGAGGGCAAACGTATATAAATGTGTTCTTGAAGTGTACATTTATTCTCAGGTGTTTTGCTCCAGAGATCAAATCAGATCAGATCCATCTTAGTCTGAAACAGTATCTGCACTAATAGTTCTGTATCAGGAATATAAATCTTTCAGCACATTTTGTCTTCATCCTCAATGCATCATCTTCCATCAGGTCAGTTTACAGTAAAAACAGTCTCTTACTTTGTGTCTGAGGGTCCAGGTTCAGGACTGAAGTCTGGAGGAATAACATTTTTGGACCGGTCACTCTTCATAGACAGACAGCTGGATGCTGCAGACTCTGCTCTGTCCTCCTCTTCCTCCACACAAACACTCATCTTCTGCACTTCAGTCAGTCTGAGAGGTGAAACAGTGACACTGACTGTGAGCTCAGAACACAAGAACCAGGAAACAAGTCTGAGAGAACAGGTAGTAACACACACAGTGTTGAGTTCACTCTAACGTTTCTTTCCTCTACAGTCCACAGGGAGAAAACTTTGACAGTAAAATAATAAAATGTTGGATTAACACTCACCCTGCTTCAGCCTTCAGTTTTCCTCCTCCTGTTCTGTCAACTCAAAATGGAGTCTGAACTGATTGAACTCTTTCAGTTTCAGGTTCCTCCTTGTTCTCATGAACTTCGATCACGGGATAAGTGTTGTTCCTCTTCTCTCCATTTACTGGAAATCATGTGTGTGAGTGTGTTTCTCTCTTGGCCTGAACAAAATTAAGTAAAATGGGTTTCAGTCAAAATGTTGGTTTTTAAATGAAGTTTAAATGATGTAAATAATTAGTTTTGTTTAAGTTACCACTAAAGTGCTTTTAACTGAATTAACTAAATCTTGTTTCCATTCTAAGGTTTTGGATCAGTTCCCTCCTTTCCCCCTCATACTTCCGACAGTGTACCATGACATGTTCGACTGTCTCTTGTTGCCCACAGTAATCTAATCCAAATCTAAGTCTTGATATGATTGTCTCTTCTCTCCTGTTCCTTCCTGCACATCTCATTTCTCCTCTACCCACTGCACTGCTAACAAAATTGCTAGCATTTCTCCTGTGTACACTGATACTTCATCACTAATCATCTTCCCTATTGTAAGATGAAACTCTGGAACAATAAAAGCTACTCCTATCTTATTAATTAAACTATTTGATGCATCTGTGTAGATCTGGATGTAACTGTTAACTATTAATAAATGCCTGTATAGTATGTGAATTCAAAATAAACTCCCTGTCCGTGTTCTTCTTTTCTAATAGTGTAAGATCTACTGTGGCTTCAGGTAGTAAGGTGGTAATGTTGGACTAAAGTTTAGTTAATTCAAGTCCTGTATTTGTTTCCTCTGTTTGACCTGCCTCTACTCTCAACACCTGGATAACATTGTCAGTATCAACCCCTCCCCCTTTCTCCTTGTACTTTCTTCACTGCCTCCGCATAACTTATGTTGTTAACTGTTTAAACTTGCTGTATTTCCACAGCCTTCTTCCTGACTTCACATCCACCGTATGTTAACGTGTTAGCCACCACAATTACAACATTTTTCCTGCACATTTTCCATACATTCCTCCGCTCTCTGCTCACCTCCGCATTTGGGACACCTCTGCTTCCCTTTGCAAACCTATAAAGCTATATGCCCATACCTCTCGCATTTTTCTCTCACTTATCATTTTCTTGCAAACACTTTCCAATTACAAGGCTTTATTTTTCTGTTCCTCCGTTTGCGTGTTACCAACAAGCTTCAGTCTCTGAAATTTTTTGCCATTGCCACATCTCCTAGCTTCTTTTTCAATTCCCTAGACACCGGACACCATCGGACTTAAACAAGCACACTCTTCTTCCTTTCTGAATTTGAGAGTGATTTTATGTCCCCCCCCCTTTCTCTTCTACCTGAGTCGCCATTCTGGTCCACGCATAAACCAGTTTATGTCAACCGCCAAGTCTGTGTGGGAAAATAATTATTTCATAAATTATTATGTTCAATTTAAATGCATTACATGGTTATTTCATCTTGTTAATTACAACTGAATAACTGACTAAAACATAAACATTACAATACTTTCAGTGCAGCCATGGTGTGAGAACTATGTGAGTATATACTATATAGGTCTGGATAATAAATACAATATACACAGGAGTGAAAAAAATAATAAAATTAGTCCATTTATTAAATAAACTATGGTCTATAATCTAATTTAAGTAATAAAGCATAGAAGTTAGCGAAGCCAGCGGCCATAGTTAAGTGCATCCCTGGGGCCAGAGCGGGTGACATTGAGTCTTTTTTGAAACTGCTGGCTAAGGATAAACATAAATACAGTAAGATTGTTGTTCATGTTGGCGGTAATGACTCCCGGTTACGGCAATTGGAGTTCACTAAGATTAATGTTGAGTCGGTGTGTACATATGCAAAAAAAATGTCAGACACCGTAGTTTTCTCTGGACCCCTGCCAAATCTGTGATGACATATATGTATAGAACGTCGTCATTTCAGCGCTGGCTGTCGAGGTGGTGTCCAGCAAACGATGTGGGCTTTGTGGATCATTGGCAGACTGTCTGGGCAAGACTTGGTCTGATTCGGAGAGACGACATCCATCCCACTAGGGAAGGAGCAGCTCTCATTTCTAGAAATCTGGCCAAGTTTATTAGTGGACCAAATCCATGACAAACCTGAGTTCTGACCAGGAAGCATAGTCGCAGTCTAACACTTCTCTGCCCTTCTATTTCAGCAGTTACCCATCCAAAACCCCATAGTGACGATGTCTGCCCCCCGAACATCGAAATTATTTAAATCAAAAGTAAACAGAAGGGGAGCTGTGCATAACAAAACTCATGTGCAATAGTGCAAACGAATAGGAGAGTTAAATGTGGACTTAAACATCAGATCTCTCTCTTCTTAAGGTGTACTAGTAAATTAACTAATATCAGATTATGATATGATATGAACCACAGGATCCTGCTATCCACTCTCTCAGCAACAGGCATCTCGAGTAAAGCACTCCTGTGGTTCGAATCCTACCTCTCGGGGCGTTCCTACAATGTTTTGTGGCAAGGACAATTATCCTCCTCCCACTGACTCTCCACAAGGGTACCCCAAGGCTCAGTGCTTGGGCCCCTTCTCTTCTCAATTTACACCACCTCACTGGGGCTGATCATTCGCTCGCATGGCTTTTCTTACCACTGCTACGCAGACGACACGCAACTCTACCTATCCTTCCCGCCCGACAATCCCACTGTCTCTGCGCGGATCACGGACTGTCTATCAGACATATCTGCATGGATGAAGGCTTGCCACCTTAAACTAAACCTCTCTAAGACTGAACTCTTGGTCATTCCAGCCAAGCAATCTATCCACCATAACATCAAACTACAAATTGACTCCGCAACCATCACTCCAACCAAGGTGGTGAGAAACTTGCGTGTCATAATTGATGACCAGCTGTCCTTTTCAGACCATGTTGCTACTGTCTCTCGGTCATGCCGCTTTTCTCTATACAACATAAGGAAAATCAGGCCCTACCTCACTCAGTACACCACCCAGCTTCTGGTACAAGCCATGGTTATCTCTCGCATTGACTATTGCAATACCCTCCTAGCAGGTCTCCCAGCTTGTGCGGTGAAACCCTTACAAATGGTTCAGAACGCAGCAGCACGTCTGGTTTTTGATCAGCCCAAAAGGACTCATGTCACTCCATTACTCAGTGACCTCCACTGGCTCCCCTTTGCCTCAGGAATCAAATTCAAGTCACTAATGCTTGCATACAGAGTGACTACTGGTCTGCATCCAGTGTCCATCTACCTAAACTCCATAATAAAAGCTTACGTTCCTTCTCGGAAGCTACACTCCTCCAACGAATGCCGCCTGGCTCTGCCATCACTTCACACAAAGCAATCCCAGTCCCGGCTATTCTCATCTGTGACACCATGATGGTGGAACGAGCTACCAAACGCCATCAGAGCAGGGGCGTCCCTCTCTAACTTCAAGAAGCTCTTGAAAACTCATCTCTTCCGAGAACACTTCCTCTTAGAACACCTCTAACATGCACTTCCTGTGCTCTTCTTCTTCTTCTATCCCCTACAATGATCTTGATTTGATTGCACTTTTTGCTCTTACTCCCTTCCCTAGGTATCTACCCCATTGATGTGATATGTCCTGTGAGCTCTTACTAGTATTCATTGCTGCTCTTACTAGTATGTATTGTCAGTTGTAGATCTGTAGTTGATGCTCTGTTGATGCTTGTATGTTGTTCCTCAAATGTAAGTCGCTTTGGATAAAAAGAGTCTGCCAAATGAGTAAATGTAAATTATATTGATTTATTGTTGAATCTCACATTCCTCGAGGCACAGGCCGAGGAGGTGGAGTTGCAGCTATCTTCAACTCTAGCCTATTAATCAGCTCTAAACCTAAATAATAGCCTTGTTCTTAGTCTTTCACACCAAAATTGGAAATCACTGCAACCAATTATTTTTGTTATAGTGTACTGAGCACCTGGTCCATACTCTGAATTCTTAATGGTTGTTCAACTTTAGTCTTAAAACAGACAAATTTATTATTGTAGGGGATTTTAATATTCATGTAGACGTTGAGAATGACAGTCTTAGTACTGCGTTTAATCCCTTTTTATCTGACCACTGTTTGATAACTTTTGAGTTTATATTGCTGAACTACACACTATTAGGCAATAACTTCTATAAGAGATGTCTGTATGATAGTGCTGTAGATAAATTTAAGGATGTGATTCCATCAGATTTTAATTCATTACCAAGTCACAATGGTATGTGGTTGCAGAAACTTGGAATCGGCATTCCATCAAACAGGAAAATTCTCATTTGGCAAGATAGTCTTAAAACTTATAGGAAGGCCCTCCACAATGCCAGAGCAGCTCACCATTTGTCACTAAGAGGAATATAGGAAGAACCCCAGGTTTCTTTTCAGCACTGTAGCCAGGCTGACGGAAAGTCATACCTCTAGCTATTCCCATAGCTTTTAGTAGTATCAACTTCGTGAGCTTCTGTAACACCCCAAACTAGTTCAGAGTTGACCAGTGAGTAAAATAAGTGGGCAACAATACTACAAGCTGTGCAAAATATAACCTCCAAGTTCATTTGTACAGAATAGGCATAAAAAGGATAAAACAAGGCTGAAGCTAAGAAAGTTAAAAGGTCAGTTCAAAAATGGGGGAAAGTCAGGGTCAGTTAAACCGGAATGCGGCGCTTCCTGGCTGGGTGTGCTCAACTTCATTTTCCTGCGTGGGGCGAAGCCAAACACGACAGGAACAGGTCTGCTGTTGGTCACAGGCTGGCCGGTTGTAACCTCCTCACTGCTTGGGGCCTCTGGTAACGCTACTAAGTAGCGGTGGCTCTGCACTGCCGGCTCCCCAGACTACGAGCCAGCCGTGTGGCACACTCTTTCAGATATCAGCAGCCTCAGCACACTGCACCCAGGAGACAAGCGGAAGACCCTTAGACAAAAAACAATTTACAAAACATTCCACACAACAGACACTGCCACCAGCCCACATAATTATATATACACCCAGGGACAAAGACATTCAAAATCTCAACTCTGTACCTGGACCCAGGAGACAAGCAGAAGACTCCTTAGCATAGTGTGTGACTGGTTCAATAGCTTGCAGGTGGAGGTCACGTCCAAGCACACCTGTCTGCCATCAGCACATCCCCATGCAATTAACCCATGTGAAAAACCACACCCATCAAATGCACACTCACTCTAGGTGCTCACCCATCACACTACCACTGCACTCAAAGTAGGCTAATACAGGTCTACCCCATTACACTTCTTTAATGATAAAACTATAACTATTAGAAACAAAATTCACCAAGACCGGCCCTCAACTGGCACAGACTTGTCTCTAAACTCAGGAACCTTAGAAATAGGGCTGCAATGATTAGTTGATTTTGAGGGGACAAACAAACTATGTAGTTACCAGTACTGATTGGACCAGGTTTGGCCCCACTTACCCGGAGCCATTGAGAGTCCCAGTGTCAGGACATGTAGATGTGTTGTTCTCCACTGGTCATACTGGTAAACGTTACTGGTTCTTCCCTTTGTGTTGCTCAGCAGTTACCTTGTTTAGCTGCTACTCAAACATCAGAATTGATTATCAACAATATTAATATTAATAATGATGTCAGCGCTTCCTGAAGCTGCACTGCTCCACTCTCTGTTGTTATGTTTGGATCATCCTGCTGTATGTACTGATGCAGTACATTTACTCAAGTACTGCACTCAAGTACAGTGTTGACATACTTGTACTTTACTTGAATATCCACTACACTTCAGAGGGAAATGTAGTGCAGTAGAAGTATAAGTACATGTAACTCTTCACTGCACCACATTTACTTGACACGTAGAGTCAATATGACTAAATAAACACATGGCATGCTTTTATAATATGATGCAGTACTTTACTACTAATCTACTTCAAAGTATCTCAAAGTGGCACTTTTTTGACAAACGACAGCATTAAAACACTCTTACATGTATTTGATAGTGACACAAACAGAGTAATATAATATTCCATAATAATATAACTGTGTGAAAGAAGGCGTTCTGCATAATGAGTACTTTTACTTCTGACCAGAAAGAAAAGTTTGAAACCACAATTAACCATCTGGTTTCTTCAACTTTCACTCAGGAGCAAAAATCAGCCTTTAAACTTGAAGAAATAATGATTTGACATTTATCTTGATAATTATTGATATCGACTGATATGACATTTTTGGCCGTATCGTCCAGCCCTACTTTAAATACATTTTGCTGAGAATACTTGTGTACTTTCACTTTGAATGCAGGACTTTTACTTGTTATGGAGTATTTTTAAAGCAGGGTATTTTTTGATCATCATCATTTTTGTACTTTTCCTTCTGATCTGAGTACTTCTTCCACCTCTGCTGTTCCTCCAGCTCAGAGTCTGTCTGAATGCTGCAGTAATATTCAGCTTTCATGATCACAGATAAAGTCGTCAGATTGAAGTGAAACCTTTGAAACTGTCTGCAGAGTTCTGGCCGCTCCCTTTACCTCCATGATCCTGGGAGATCTGGGAGCTGAGCTGATCACAAGGGAGAGAGCAGGTGAGTCGGCG